CAGTGAAATTTCCCCAAGAAATTAACCTAGTTAAGATGCTAAATCTTAGAGTACTAAATTTTAAAAAATCATGAAAAATTAAAAATCAAGCTTTTTTTTTTGGTAAATAAGACATCAAAATGCCACTCATTTTATGCAGAATCTAATAATAAAAATAACCTAAAAAAAAACATTTGGGAAGAACTTAAAATGAGGTGGCAGCTGACACCCCTCCTCACAAGCTCTGTGACTTGAACCTCATCAATGGGACTTGAGTGGCTTCGAAATTCTTGATATTAGCTGGTGGAAAGAAGGAGGCGACAATTGGAGGAGCATAGATGGGTTCAACAATGTCGGCAATTGTAGTGTTCTCTGCTATGGCATGAACAGATTTTACTCCGGCGTTGTTACAAGTAATGAAGACGGAGGATGTGTCATCGTCGCCACCGTGGCGGACAACAAGAAGACGGCCAGCAAGCGGCAGGAAGAAGTCGAGGTTGGAAGAAAGTGAGTACTTCAAGTGTTGGATCGATCACTGTTTCTCTGTGTATTGAAGATGATAACGAGGTGGATGGGCTTGTGAAAAGAGAAGTCCCTTTTGAGCATACCCAAGAACTAAATATCGAAGATCCCATGGATTCAGATCGATTTGATGAGGCGAGTCGCCATTATTACGGCAATTAGAATGAAGATCTAGAGAGAATGATATTTAATTATGGAAATTATAATTATTTTGAATAATTTAAAATCAAAATATAAATTTAAAAAGTAAAAACACTAAATTGCCTTTATGCTTAGTTTGGATGGGAAGAAAAATTGGGAGAAAAAATGGAGAGAGGAAAAAATTGAAGGAAAAATATTATCACCCATCTTATTTGGATGAATGATAGAAAATAGAAAGGAAAAAAAAAAAGAACAAATATGTTAATGATTAGAATACCCTTATCTCAATGTCAAAATATATTACGTCTAAAACCAAATTAAAGATCACAATAAAAAAAATTATATGGATGATAAAGTCCAATTATTATACATTTTATCCCACATTAAATTAGGATTTAAATGATAATTTTGAGCTTAAATGAACTTTTTATGCATTATTGGATTAATTGGTTGATTTTTGGATTTTGCATAAAAATTGAGATTTTGGATTAAAAATATAAATATTTTGTGATTTCCTATTTTTGACTTAGAATTAATTTTTTCTATTTCTTTGGAAACAAATCTCATATTTTTAGAAAGATTATTTTTAGAAAGTTTTACAATTTCTTGCCTAATTTTTGCGCAGATCTGATATTTAATTTTTGATTATATTTGGATATAATCTATATTAATGAATGCACTTAAATTCTTGTAAGTCAAGAAAGAGTATATAGGAAATCTAATGGTGCAAGATTGTTTCTTGGGATTTAAGCACAATCCAATGGCCAATATCAAGTGGGTCAATTAATTACTAATGGGCTTGAGTTTTGGATCCAAGAAAATTTTCTTTTCTCTCCTAAAATAATCCCTCTAACACGCCTAAGATCACTCTTTTTTCCATCTCCATAGAGACGCACGGACCATTGAAAAACGTGAATCATCTCCTTTCAACAATATCCCATATTCACCATATACCATATATATATATATATGTCCCATATTCGAAAAAAAACATCCATCCGCTCTCACCATCATCAATTCACATCCTTTTCTTTCTTACTCCACGTACAATCCACATAATCATCCTCTTCTCTTCTTTACTCCTCATGGCTGCGGCATCTAATGATTTTGGAGGGAAGATAATTTCCATGGAGGCTTAAGCTTGTTAGGGAGGCAACTTGGAAGGAGCGTGGAGGAAACTTGAGCCTTGGGCTAGCACTTGAAGACCACAAGGGAGTGATATTCCATTTATTTTTTTAATTCAAAGACTTGAGATTATTTAGTTTTAAATAATTTTGAGTTGTATTTTTGTGAGACAATTTAGTTCTAGATTGTCATTTTTTTTATTCTTGGATTGGATTGATATTTGGATTTTATTTGTGTTGAGACACTTGCTGGAATTTATGTTTTTGAACCTTCGCATTGTTAATTGAATTTATAATTGAGTTTTCATTATGAGTTTAATTATCAATGTGGTTTGAATTGCAAAATTTGGGTTCTTTTGCCTCTTAATTGTTTAATTAAGTTGGTTGGTTATCTGATTGTTTAATTGAATAATTTCAAACATAATTTCCAAAATTAATTTGAATTATTTTCATTGGTTTTAATAAGCTTAATTAACCAACCTTACACTATTATGAGTTCTCTAATGGTTTAAAGGTTTTTGAAGTTAAGGGTTTTCTTTATTTCAAGTAGGTAATTAAGTTTATTAATTCTACTCTCTTATCACTTCCCTTTGATCTAATTAACTGATTAAGGTTATGAAGGTTAAATCCATGTGAATCCTAAGTTGTCCCCTTTACCGTACCTGAAGAGAAATTTCTGAATTTTTACTTGCTAATGCTCTTTGCTTTCTGATTAATTTTCTTTATTCATTATTTTTATTTTCCTTCTGGAAAAAAAACCCCCAAAAATTGCATTGCATTCATTTAATTTAATTTAATTTTCATATATATCTTAGGACATTTGCATCTTGCATTTAGAGTTAGAATTTTGCATTTTAGTTTAGGTCCAATTTATTGCATTTTTTTATCACCTAAATTTTTACCTAAAGAAACCCATAACTTGCTCCTTGGGAGTAATGACCTAGGTCGACCCTAAACTACAAATTAATTGGGACCTAGTTTAATTGAGTGCTTTGATGACAAAAAGCATCATCAATGGACATTAATGTTATCAAATGATTTAAAATAAAATTAATTAATAAAAATAGATTATCATATTATTATATTTAAAAATCAAATAGTTTAGTAAAAATGTTATTTTTTAATAAAAATAAAAAAGTAAATTTTTTAAAAATTAAATATAATAAAACAAAATAAATAGAATATATATTATTTAATATTGTTATTAAATAATAAAAATTTATTATAACAATTGAAAGAGATGAAGAAATGTACATATATGTATCTGTGTTTACAGTTAGTGTAAATTCCCACGATTGCATTGAATGTTAAAAAAACAAAAAATGAGTTTATATGTTGGCATGGAAGTTTGGCTACTGGATCTGGATCCTCTCATAATCTTTCTTTCTTCTTTTCTCCGTAAAATCTCATCTCCATTGTTGGATCAAATAATAGATGATTCATATTTAATATTTTAAAAAGTAGATGTTCAACTTTTCTTTCTTATTTATGCAATGTTATAATAATAATAGTTTCCTAGAGTATGAAATCTGAATAATTCATCATTTAATCCAAAGGTAGAGATCAGATTCTGAGAAGAAAAGGAGAAAGAAGAATTCTGGGAGGATACAGACCCTTTGGCCACTATGAAGTGAGATAATTTTGCTAAATTATAAAGTAACCATAAATACAATTAAAAGTTGTATTAAAGGCAACATATGAATTTATTCACCTCGTATGAGAGAAGACATATGAGAAATGTGAGTTTTCTTTTTATTTTTTCTTCATGTGTGGAGCGAAAATTTGGGGAGAAAATAATGTGAGTCTTGCACACTATTTTCTCTTCCATTTTTTTTTCTCCCACTTTTCTCTCCTCATCCAAATTAAAAAAAAAAAAATTGATTTCTCTTCTCATTTTTTTTATAGTTTTCTCTCCTCCCCTATTTTCCCTCCATCCAAACAAGGGGTTAATCAAAATTAAACCTCCTACGTTCCTATTTCCCTCCTACATTATCTCTTCCACAATCTATTTTTAAAACTTTAAATTTCACCAAAATAAAATTTTCCTCATTTTTATAACTTGCATTAGATATCTATTAGAACAAATATAAAAGGTTTGACTAGCGGCAGTTTAGTATTTTTAAATTTGGTCCTTCTAAATAATTACATATTTTATAATCCTCTACAATAAATATATTTTTTCTGGGTTTTTTATGTCAATTTTTTGAGAAAAATATCAGAAAGTTAAAGTTATTATGCTTAGGAAAAATCCCAATTAGATCCTGTTGAAACACCAAAATTTGAATTTAGGCCTAAACTTTTAATAAATTTTCAATCAGTCCAAGAGGTTTAATTAGAGATTTTTTAATGTTGTTAAAAAGCTAAAATAGCCTTCAATGTAGTTTTAAAAAAAATTGAAAGTAGGTATATGCCTGATTTCACAAGCATGTATCATATATATATATATATATATATATATAAAATAGATCATTATGCTGTTACATAATAGATCACAAATTTTTATATTCATCCCAAAAAATAGGCAGAGGAGGAAAAGTTTATAGGAATGGGAAGAGAATCCTCCAGCAACAGCGGCAGCGAAGGCCCCCTTCAGCAACGGCGCGGCCCCCTTCGGCAACGACGGTAATGGTAGCCTACGAGATGACGATGGTTTCTCCAGTGACAATGATGATAACCTTCGATCTGATTTTTGTTTTCCTCGTTTTGTATAGATCTGGGTCTTCGAGTTCACCTTCAAACACTCCAACTTTTGCCGCGCTGGTCACCTTCAAATGTGAGCTTCACGATATTGCTGGTCAGATCTCGTTCTTATTAACTAATGGGTGCAAAATGACAAGGATGGTTTTTGTGATTTGGTTTCATATTTCCAAGAATTGACCTTGTTGATCATCGGTATTCAGGGTGGAGGCCGGTGGTTCCATTGTGGACATAGTTGTGAGGGGTGGCAGCGGTGGGTTGAGGGGCAAGTTTTTTTTTTCAATAACAAAGTTGTCTTTTTTTTTTTAATATTATTTTAAAGAACAAGGGTGCTTTACATAAAAATTCCATGTGCATACCAAACATATTTTCAAACCTTAATTCCATATCCATATCCATATCACTATAGCAAAAGGGTCGTAAGAATCTTAAGCCATTTCCATGAATACTGGAAAATGTACGAGGTTACCAGCTATGGAAAGCATACAGATGCTCTATGACCAAAAAAAAAAAAAGAAAGCATACAGATGCTCGATGTTACAGTCGAGTCCGTGCTGCTACTCTTGTTGTTGATAACTTCGCCGGCAACGATGATTCCATTGCGTGCATGAACTCGATGTCTCTTGCCAAAGCCTCCAGTATTTCGTACGAGGCACACAGCTCAATGTCAAAACTATCTTCTTCTAGTCCAGCATCAGCAGCCAACTTCCACAGCTTTGCATTGGCTGGGCCGCCGCGAACCGCCACCGACCTTCCCCAACCAAAGTCAATGTCATAAAAGTTGACTCTTGGGGAGCTGCTAGTTCCCATACACTTCCCAATTGTTGCACGTTGTAAACGCATTATTGGATTTCGTATCCAAGCTTCAAAGTCGCTCTTGATCTTTTCTTCTGTGAATGATGAGACTGCCCTGTTCATCTCCGAAGCAAACTTCCCAAAGCCTGTGTCTCCCACTAAGTCCCTTACTTTCATCGTCACGACGGCGAGTTGCACAGTGATTCCAAAATAGTCCTCTGGAATTGGTGGGTGGGAAACTCTGGATCCAGCAGATATGAGGAATCTGTAAGTGACTTCCTCTTCTGGGTCAAGATTCTGATTTCTGATCACAGACCTCCAAACAAGGGCTACAATAGCTTGTAAGGAGGAGATTTTGTTGCTGTTGACACTATCATTGACCTCTGAATTAGCTTTAGCTTTTATCTCAGCAATTTTTTCTCTTTTAAAGTGAAAGATCCTCCTGGAAAATGGAGGTGACGGCTGAGTCAAATTTATTGGCTCCTTGAGATGATTCTCTATGATTTTTTTGGATGAGATTGCTATGGGGCGGTGAATGTTACCATGAGGAAACCACCGTTCAAATGAAGCGAGCTTTGAATTTGGGGCTATGTGGTTGAGGCCATTTCGAGAGATCTGAGCCCATGCGTTTAAGAAATTCCAGTACGGCTTCACATCAGCAAGACAATGGTTCATGGAACAAGCGATGAAGATGCCATCTACCAACTCTGTGACTTGAACCGCCACTAATGGAACTCGAACTGCTTCAAAGTTCTTGACATTACTTGATGGGAAAAAGGAGGAGACAATGGGAGGAACATAAGTGGGTTCAACAATGTCAGCAACTGTAGTGTTCTCTGCTATGGCATAAACAAAACTTACTCCGGCATTGTTACAAGTGATGAAGACGGAGGACAAGTCAAGGTTGCCGCCATGGGAGACAACAAGAAAACGGCCGGCGAGCGGCAGAAAGAAGTCGAGGGTGGAAGAAAGCGAGTCCTTCAACTGCTGGATTACTGTTTCTCCAAGTATTGAAGACGATGATGATGAGGCGGGTTTGCGAAAGAGAAGTCCCTTTTGAGCATACTCAAGTAGTAGAAATTGAAGATCCCATGGATTCAGATCGATCTGTTGAGGTGAGTCGCCATGATTAAGGCCGCTTCGTGCTCTGATCGTAGTTGTGGAGATTGTTCGGACGGCCGCCATGGGACGCGTGGTGCGTGTAGGGTTTATCTTCAGTTGCTTAAACTCATCGCTGGCCTCCCGTGGATTTACAGCAGCCGAGCTCCTAGATGAGGCTGGTAGAACGGGCCAAACCCTAGGTTGCGGGTTGGCCCCGTCACGAGTTGCGGGCTATACGGGTCGGGTTTAAAATGTTTGTTTTATGACAAGTTGGTATTCTGCCAACCTTAACCTACCAAGGTCGATTGGTGGGTCCTACTAGATTTTTTTTAAAGTTTTTCCTTATAAATAATCAAAAATTAAAAAAATAAAAAATAATCTAAATTATTCCAAGCATTCGTTTAAAATTACAACACATTAAAATACAAATTTACGATTGTCCAAAGTCCAAAGTCTAAAATCCAAACATGATAAAAACACAAGTTCAAATAAAATTTTTCTAATAAAATCAACATGCAACAATGAATAACTATCTCGATCTAATTATATTTAATGGTGATGACATTTGAAGCTGGAGCATTGTTTGAAACTAGCTCAATATTGATTTTGATAGTAATAGTTAGTAGGACTTCAGCTTTCTTACCTTTCCAGAATTCCAGTCCACCTCCTCCTAATATTTTAATATATATATATAAAATTAGTTGCAGCGGCCTCAGATTGTAGCAGTGCGGGCTCATATTTTTCAGTGCTTCGCCCCGAAGGAGCGCCCCCCAATTGCCTAGTGCCACGGTTCGATCAATACAATCGAGCAGGGGAGCCATAATTAATAATAGCGTAATTTAGAATAGAAGGAATACGAGTATTATATTGCTTCGTCAGAGAATGGAAAAGAGAGCCTGCTACCTTTTCTGCGTTCAGTCAATCTACGCAGAGTGAATCGGTCCCTAAGGAACCCCCGAAAGGGTTGCCGTCCGATGCGTACACGAAAGTGATGAAGTTGCTTTGACTACAAAACCAAGCGTAAACTTCTTTCGTAAAGCACTGTTCAAGCGGAAGAAGGTGAGGAATCAGGCGGCGAAGAATCAGAAAGACTGGCCAAAGGCTAATCCTAACCTGTCATTTTTACAGGCTGGCGGGTGCGACCCGCGGATGCAACCCATATTCCTGGTTTTAGCTCCTACCTTCTTGACCATTAAGGGTATGTTTGGATTGGCGACGGGCAAAACTGACTTCTAGCTCAACTGACTTTTGTAACTGAAGTTAGAATAAAAGTCAGTTAGCGTATGTTTGGATAGATGTTTTTAAAAAATCAGTTAAAAAAGTTAAAAATTGTTTGGATGATTAATAAAAAAGTTAGTTTAGTTGTAAAATAACTGAAAATAACATAGACTTTATTGAATAGTAGTGTTTGAAATTTTATATTTTTAATGTGATAATAATTTAAAAAATACGTAAAATTATTATGATAAAATATAAATAGTTTATTTGTGAAATTATAAAATAAAAATATTTGTTACAAAGAAAAATTTGAAAACACATTGTAGATAATTAATTAAATATACATAATGGATAAACATGAATATAAATTAAAATTCATTTGGTCTGAATAAAAGTTCATTATACTAATGAAGGAGATGAGGCAGAGGGGAAAATGTGAGGGTAAATCTAGAATGCTCATTTTTAATAATCACAGTTTGAAACTGTAGTTTGAAAAGTTTCCAACTGAGATTGAAAGCCAGAAGCTGGTTGAAAAAGTTAGCCCAACCAAACAATAGTTTTTGTCCAACTCAGTTTGTAACCTCACTTTCACATATTCCAAGACACTTTTACAGTTTCTAAATGTAATCCAAACATGCCCTAATTCTTCCTGTGGCTTTTTTGGTATCCCATGGAATGCCCGCCCTCATAATGGGATCCGCCCTTCCAAAGTTGTAATGATGGTTGGGGGCGCTGGTAAAAAAACAATTGATGGTTGGGGGCATCATGATCTGTCTATTGCGTCATGATTGGTTGCAAATCCACCTTCTTTCTTCTTTCTTTGATCTTCTTGGAATCTCCACTCCACTTTTACAATAAAAAATATGAATGGTTTATACAAAAAAACAACTATTAGAATGATATGGATTAAAACATTAGTTAAAAATAATTAGAGTTAATATAATTTTTGATTCTTTAAGTTTGTCCTCATTTTGATTTTGATTCTTCAAATTTCAAACCATATGAATCTGTTTCGTATTTGATTTTACTACTTTAAATTTGCATGGTATTATCCGTTTGGTCTATGTTTCCTTTTTTTTTTTGTTAAAGTATAGATATCCTTCTATTGGAGATAACTCTATTCGAGATATTGTTGGGTATTAAATGTGGGTACCTCTTCTAGTAGGATTCAAATCTTAGTTCGTGAGGGACTAACCTCTTCTGCTAGACTTAACTCCCATTAATGTCGATGTTGCTTTTGATCGCTTCATTTGGGTCATGTCTGTACCTGTTTGTTAGTAGGAACTGGGCTTTGGCGTCTTATCATGTTTTCTTGTTCTTGTATGAAACAATTTTACTACTACCCCTTGTTCTTAATAATTAATATAAGAGTTCATTGACTAGTTAATTCAGTTGGAAAAGAGTCAGTTCATAACTCATAAGATCATGAGTTTGATTCCTATTGCTGATGTAAGAATCTTGTTAGCAGGCGATCTGTAAGTACCTTTGTAGGCATTTTATGGGTCTGAAGACATGTCCTGACCCTAATGAGATATCAAGACCCAACTCATCTAAACTTTGTTTCTAGAAACCAGTTTCAGTACTTATTGTAGTGATGAACACCATGATACTCATCGTTGCAGTGAAATATAAACCGTTCAAATACAGTTTTAATGTTCTAGATTTAAAATTTTCAACTAATAATTTTTAAATAAAAATTTATTTTTAAAAAACTTATAGTTAAAAGATTACATTTAATTTGGATTATGTACCTATTAAAATTTTTTAAAAAAAATATTAAATTTGAATGATTGAAATTTAATAAGTATCATGGTGCTTATCATTGTAATGATGAGCCCTGAAATTGGTTTCTTATTTTTACCCAAAAAAATTTTCATTTTATCAATATTTATATGCTTGATTAAGTCTTTGTATATTTTATTCTTTTAAATTATATAAAATTTTATTAAATTTTAAACAATATACAAAAAATCTCCTTAACCTTTAAAAATTAATAGTAAACCTTTCAAAACTTTCAAGTCTATGCGGATAACACTTCACCATCAATTATATACCTCTTAAATTTTATTTTTATGTGCATATAGCCTACTCAAAGTTTGAGTTATATGCACATAATCCCAATAAGCTTTAAGCTGCGTGTGGCAAAGAAATGAATAAAACTAATCGTAGGAGAGTTATCCGTATAAATGTGAGAGTTTATGAGTGTTCATTCTGAAGCTTCAAAGATTATGGAGGTTATTTGTACATAACATAAAGTTTATGGAACTTATGTATAATTTAAACTATTTTTTAATGCTTTCTTTTAGTATTAAATATAAGGACCCAGTTTACTTTTTCTCTGATATACACCTAGTTTAGAAATTGATATACTATCTTATGTTACGCCGAGTATTTTAGAGAGTTTATATTACATTTTTTATAATTAATTAATTAATCTTTCTTTTTTAACATATTGAAATTAATTAAATAGAGTATTATAATAAAATGACATGCATAAAAATCCGTTATATTTATGATGCCAAAAAAATGCGTCCTATTTAATGTTGGAACTGGTATGCAAAAAATATAATGATCATCTTTACAAATTGCAAGTGGAGCTCATATTAAATCATATGTAAATGTATGAACCCACTGTAGCCTCTATTACATTTTGAAATTTATTTAAAACTAAACTACAAAAAAAAATCCTATAAAATTTTGGAAAAATGACACAAAAATAACACTTAAACTTAGAAATCCTAAAATGATCACTTGAATTTGGAAAATTCCAATTTAGGTATAAGTGACCAATTTGGGATTTTTAAATTTGCTGAAATGACCATATTAGGCTTTATTTTATTTTCTGTTTTTTAAAAAACCAAATGCCCCACTGGCTTGCTAGTCGCCGAAGCTCCCTAAAGGTAGATGTTAACAAGTCATGTAACAATATTAACAACTCTCATAAAGTTAGATGTTTTTAATATTAGCTGCTTATGATAGTTGTACAACAAAATTTTTTCACTTATTAGGCAGCCATTATGGTCATGCGAGTTGTTAATATCATTACATAACTTGTTAACTGCATTACTAAAATTGTAAAAATGACATTTTTGAATTTTGTAGAAAATCTATTGTTAAATACTATACCGAACTTGTCAATAGAGTTACGGAACTTGTTAACGGCATTATTAAAGTTAGCAACATACTACTTTTTGAACTTTCTCAAAAACCTGTTGTTAACTGCTATACTAAATTTGTTAATAGCGTTACAAAACTTGTTAACCGTTTTACTGAAATTGTAAAAATTTTCCAAAACAGTGGTTACTAAAGTTGTAAAAATACTATTTTTTTGAATTTTCTAGAAAACTTGTTGTTAAATGCTATACCAAACTTGTTAATAGAGTTATGAAACTTGTTAATGGCATTACTGAAGTTGTGAACATGTTACTTTTTGAATTTTCTGAAAAACCTGTTGTTAATAGTGCTACAAATCTTGTTAACCATTTTACTGAAATTGTAAAAATTTTCAAAAAAAATTGTTGTTGACCGCTGGCGGCACCGAAGCTCCAGCGACCGGCTGGCCAGTGGGGGCATATGGTTTTTAAAAAAATAATAAATAAATAAAGGACAATATGATCATTTCAGTAAATTGACAAGTCCCAAATTGGTCACTTATGCCTAAATTGAGATTTTACAAATTCAAGTGACTATTTTAGAATTTTCAAGTTTAAGTGTTATTTTTCCTAAAATTTTGGCTATATACAAATAACACTTTAACCTTTATAATTTAATAATAATAACTCTCCGAATTTTTTTAAATTTGTGCAAATAACCCTCAATCATTAATTATTCTCTTGAGAGAGGTGATCACATAGTGCCCGACCAAA